CACTAGCGCGTTGGATCGACGGAGAGCACCGATACTCGGCACGCTCTACCGTACTCTCTCGCTCGCACACCTCCCTCCCATAGACCACCGAAATTCCTCGGCACCCGTCAACACCGACGGAGAGCACCGATACCGCGGCTCGCTCTACCGCTCTCGCTCGCACGCCGTGACGTCACCCGATTCCCGGAATCCCTTATTCCCCGGAACTACTTATGAAACTACATCTATTCTGAATTTATCTGTTACAAATATACAAGTGTAAGGCAAGATATAAAAACGAATGAAATCCATTAACGATGCATTTAGAATAAATTGTCTTGTAGTTAAGTGAAAAAATATATACTTTTCCGTTTAATGTTTCATGAGTATGCGATAGATGTGTGTAATAATTTGCAGTAGTCCTTTGCCGGATTCGATCTGTTGTCATTACATGTGGATTACGGGACAATGAACGGTACTGAAATGGCTTGCGTCAGTACACATTTGAAAGGTGATCCTTTATCGCTGTTGCTCGTACAACTCTCGAGCTCGGTCGCATGTTGCTCGTGCAACTGTCGAATTGGGACTGACGCTTGTGCGTGTTCCCGTGAACAAATTGGATAATAACCCCAGCAACCATGGCTGTTTCTGCAGATACTACTACAGCCCAAGTTTAAAACATGTAGGCAGTAGTTTGTTTGTGTAGTAAACCAGAGACCCGTGAGGTGAGACCGTGGGGTCATAGAACCCTCTGGGGCGGCGCCGGCACACCGCGGGGTGAGATCGCGGGATCACAGAGCCCCGGAAACATGGATGAAGTTACTGGGTCACCTCAAGCACTCCTTGTTTACTTCATATTTAGACAGGTCTCACGACGTTATATGGACAGCATTTGATTTGACCAGGCACACGACTTGTAGCTGAAAGAATGTAGATTAATCTCCAGTCAGTGGCAATAACAATAAACGACCACAACACTGTTAAAATCGCCCTTTATTTGCAACGGTTGACACTTTATATCGCGATGCGTACCCCGTTTAGTTCACTTTAAATAGCTCTTCCAACGTTCTATGGACAAGTTACGTCTTGATCAAGCATTCAGTTTGAAGCTGAAAGAACGTAAATTAATCTCCTGTCATTGAAAATAACAATAAACGACCGGAACACTGTTAAAATCGCATTTAATCGCGGAGTACCACTATTTTTCGACCGGTGGCGCCATCCGTGGCGAATCGCTGAAACTACTAGCCAATTATATGGCTAACAGTTTCAGCGATTCGCCACGGGTGGCGCCACCGGTCGAAAAAAGCTAGGGACAAATAAATCGAATGATCTATTTGTCCCTAGCAGTATTCTCTTTGTCTTACTTATTATGCAAACCTAACCTATGTATGATTCGTTCAAAAATAATTAATAAACGATTATAATTATAAACAAACGTTATGATGAATGAGTTTAGTATGAGGAGATAATGGAAGTTTATACTGGATTCTTGACTTGTAATAGAATATTAATTAATGACAGAGAGTTTGTAAATTATGGAGAATAGGAGTCATGTTCTATTAAATCTAAGGCTCTTGAAAATTTTTATATACATAATAACAAATGAAATACAATGAACATAAACATTAAAACCATATGTGAAAGTGGCTGAGGTTACGAACTCGAAGAAGAATTTCATTCATGAACTCAGTATTTGTTCAGTCAAACGTATACATAACCTATCGTTTGAATAACAAACGTTTATATATATTGTTTAATCATGCCGGTTTTTCAAGAATCATGTGCAGAGGTAATAGTTTAAATTACTGTGTTAATCATTGAGTAGCAACATATGCTTAATGAATCATGTCTTTTAGCAAATTCAAGCGCAAACCATTGTTATAATTCATCCTGGATCTATGTATCTCAGGATGGGTCGAGCGTCGGACTTGAACCCTTGTACCATACTCAACGCTGTCGCGAGAAGACGTTTACCTGGTGGATTAGAGTACAAAGATAGTTTACTACCACCAGCTGTCCCACGAGTAAGGCTGTTTATGCAGATTTCTTAATTTATCCACTAAATGGAGAATAAAATACTGGCTTTATTAAGTATTATTAAAGTCTCTGTTTCATAAATGCATAAAATCTACAGTCACGTCGTGAATAACATTGTAACAAGGTGTTTTAAGTCTCACTGCTTTTAGTAGACAAAGGAACTAACGCAAGCAATGGAAGAGTCACGTCTGCAAGTCTCCCACACCTTGCAATCCTGCCTCCAATCCGACGGAAGACGAAGATACGCCACGCCACCGCAGCAGATTGCTGCCTTCAATCGCAGATCAAATCCGGAAGTATCTTCGCCGTGTAGCGTGGAATGGATAAAGACTAATAAAGATATAGTGGTTGGGGACGATGTATTATCTTTGAATCCAGATGATAATTTCAACATCCACTTCCCGTACAAGAGAGGAGAGCTTAACGTTCATACAGGCCTTGGCGGCAGTTTAAGAGCTGTAATGGCTGATTTAAAAACAATTTGGGAGTATGTTCTTGCAGAGAAGATGGACATTCCGTTGAGAGACTTGAAACATTACAGAGCAGTTCTGATAATACCAGATATTTATAACAGACAATACTTGAAGGAGTTAATAACCTTGATGCTTTGTGATATTGGATTCGGAGCATGTTTCCTCTTGCAGGTCAGCAATTGTGATAAGTTAGATCATGTGATTTTACATCAACTGTAATTTTATTTTTTTTTGTTATTTTTTAACAGGATCACGTGGCAGCCACATTCGGCGCAGGATTAGGATATGCCTGTGTGGTTGATGTCGGAGATCAGAAAACATCGGTTTCTTGCGTGGAGGATGGAATTTCTCATAGGAACACGAGAGTGCGTATGGATTACGGCGGGGGAGATATAACGCAAACCTTCTTCTGGTTGCTTCAGAAATGTGCATTTCCATACAAGTCGTGCGATCCGTCGAACAAGTTGGACGCATTACTTCTAAATCAGCTGAAGAAAGACTTTTGTCACGTTGATCTAAACGTGTGTGGCTCGCAGGAAAAGACATTTGTCGTTAGGAAACCCAAGCAACAGACAGAAAAGTATACTCTTCAGGTACAGATAGAACCAGCTAGCCAATCGAGAACCTTAAAATCTCTAGGAATCTAATTAACTATTTTCTCCAGGTGGGCGACGAATGCTTGGTAGCACCTCTGAGTTTGTTTCAACCGGAATTGTTTAAAGTCACTGGAACACACAGTGTACACATACAGAAGAGATCAATGGGAGATCCAGAGGATCCACACGATGAGAACTATTTAAGGGAGACAAGTGTGAGTCAAGAGATACGGATTTATCGATTTCAGTTAATTATAAGTAGACTGCGGACTTTATGCATTTACAGCCTATTAGGTATCTGTGAAATACAACGAAGGACAAAACATTCGTCAGATGCAACGAGTTTTCTATTTCCTTTTGAGCCCAATAAGATATGTAAAAGAAGAAATTCCCACTTTTGTTTTTGTTTTTATGAACAACCTTCGAAAATGTGAATTTGTATAAAAATCCGCAGTCTAATTCTAAGAGATCGATGTGGCTGTTGCAGAGGAGGGGCATGAAAGAGAATCTGGAACAAACGTCTGAGCTGCAAGAGGAAGCAGCTGTTCCAACAGCGGGAGGTGAAGAAGAAGTAGTGGTGGATGCTGTAGATTCAGCTCCGATTACTTTGTCTAACCGTGACCTTGATGCTCCGCGTGATTTCGTGGTCGGTCCGCAACAGTTGTTGGGCCTTGATCATGCCGTATTGCAGAGCATCGATCGATGTCGTGCGTAATTATTTCACAGTGATTATTAATGAAACCGGATTAATGTAACATTATTACGATTCTGTAGCCACTGATGATCTAAAACGAAAGATGTACAGCTGCGTGCTTGTCGTGGGATCAGGAATGAAGTTCCAGGGTATTGGAATGTGGCTTCACAATCGTATTTCTCTTCAGATTCCGTACATGTACAGAGCCGGTAGGTTTATTGCACCTCTTGCAAGACATGGATTCAAAACAAGTGTACTTCTGTTGAATTATTGCAGAGCAGCTGGATATCATAACGCAGCCCAAAGAAATGGATCCAGGTATGACAGCGTGGAAGGGTGCTGCGATTCTGAGTTGTTTAGAGTCTGCACAAGAATTGTGGATTGGTCGGCAAGAATGGGAACACATAGGCGTTCGAGTTTTGAGGGAGAGAGCGCCCTTCATGTGGTGAAACTTTCAAGGATCTATGTATTGTAAATGCAATGAAAAAAGAAGATTAATTTTTTATAACTGTATACTGTATAGCATTGAATACTATACAAGATCCGTTTATATTTTTCGAGCTTAAGATACGATTCGTGTGTCACAACATGTCCATCAATCTGATCTTATTTTTATCATTTCTGTGATGCATAGCCATATCGCTCATAACCAAGAACGATGCAAAGTCTAGGACATCTGATCTGAGGTGCACGTACATTGCATTTCCGCCTTTCGCGTACGAAGCAGTTAAATCCTGAAAATTTATTTATGTAAGTCCATTGTAAAAACAATCCGTTGACACAAAAATACAGTTGAATTTTTACCGCCAGGAAGACTCTGACATTTTGGTTATCCGGAAAAAGTTTGGTGATTAGCTGATCCTGTAAATTGAAATGTAATCGATTGAATCTGACATAAATATAACATTTTGATATATATATTTCCTTAACTTACCAAATCCGTCTTTACTTCGTTAAACATGCGTTTAGTTATAACATGTTCTGTAACATAGGACCTGTCTGTATTCAGTTCAACATGATCTAAATAGGCTTGCTCCATTTTCTCCAGTCCCAATTTTTTATTCTCTAAACTGCAACAAAAGCAACAGACCCTTTGTCAACCCCTCGTCGTACCATTTATAAAATACTTGTTCCTTTACGCACTAGGAGACATTTTCCTCTATAGCTGACAGCCGTTCTTTCAGACTTTCATGGAGTGCTTCAGCATTTCTAACCTCCTCCTGCAATTCTGTCAGAGCTTCGACATGTAAATCGGACGTTTTAGGAAAAGGATAATCTTTGGGTTCCTCCTGCAGAATTTCCGTCAGTAAACTCTGGCATAACTTATGCTGTTTCGTACTTATTTCCTCTGGACTGCTGGTCTGTTTGAAAGTTATCGGATCTACCTTGGATATTTCGTCCAGTAATTCCTCTATCTGTTGCACGCGTTCCCGCTTTGCATCTTTCAGAGCTTCGAAAGCGTCCTCCAAAGTGTATTCCATTGTGGATACTTTTCACTACGTTGAACCGGCCAAATTTTATATCATTAAATGAACCTTATATCATTTGTATACATTCTACACGAAGGAATGTATATTGTATAAATATGTAAGTATGTACGTAAATAGATATGGCTTTGCTGGTCACTTGTCACTGGAAAGCTCCTGAAAATATGCAACTCGTGCAACGATTAGTGCCCCGAATGTATGCAAACAGTTCAATGATGGTCTCCTGAGAGTAGGTGATCGGATTGGAGGTATTTTGCCTCTGAATGTATGCAACCCTTTGTGCGCAGTGCCATTAAAAGATCGTTCACATTAATAAAATACCTCTATAGAGTCATTTATCAGATCTTTATTAATACACCGCAATCCTGTTGAAATTTCAATATACATGTCAGACTCTTGATTGATCTAGGAAGCCATGTATAAAAGGAATTCTAAGAAATGTACCAAATTTCCAAGTTTTCTTTCCAGAACTTTGTTCTATAAAAACAATGCATTTGCAAAGTATTCTCAATAAAAATTAATATACGTATTCATGTAAAATATGCGAACGAAAAGTGTGATGTACGTGGTGGAGTTGAGGTAGAATTATCTGAATTATACATTATGTATAGTACTGTTAGTTGATCACATCCATTGGCCTACGAATATTTTGTTCTCCCCACTATATGTTTACAGACAAAAATATTTCTTTTGTTGCGCTGTCCAATTCATTAGGAGTTCTGAATCACCCTATAGTGTAGGACGAGATCGCGAGTCCCCTCCTGGAAGTTCGACGAGAGGGCCGAGGAAACAGCTGTTCTGCTGGATGGTTGCTTTGACAGGGAGGTCGAAGAATAAGCGAATGTTTTATCTACACTCCACGCTTTTAAATGATATCGCGAATATTCCGTGGCGAAAATGAGAATGTCGCAGTCAAGAGAAAACGGCAGATCGACACGTTGAAAATTTTCAACGACAAGTAAGGGAACGCAAGAATTAACCGTAACCTCTTCCTCGTTTAACCTCAATCGCCCTGATGAATCTGTCTTTTCACGACCAGAACACTGTGTTAGATAGGCGAGTTTAGTGATTTATAAGAATTATTGAGTCGTCAAAGTACACGACCGTAAGTTTTTCGTCGCTCAGAGAACAATGGACCAATTCGTACAAGTAGCTGTTAATCGCGTTACGGACCTTTGCCTCGCGCGAGAATTAATAATATCATCGTTCTTGGCACACGCCCTGTTTTTTCAAATATTTTCGAAGTACTCGCCGTTCATTTCACAAAATAACTCCAATATTTCAATAACACTGATCACGGGTTGTTTCTTAATTACTTTTTTCGTGTTGGTCTTTTCGACGGAATCATGGGTTAAAAGTACAGTATGATTGAAAGAATTACTCGCATTATTATAGTAATATTTCAGTGTGGTGGAGTTACGGGAGGATATGGAGTACCAGGTACAATTCAATGCTGGGGAAAGGCGAATGGCTATTATGGTCTCTTTGTCACCGGAGTTTCCACTGGAAAAGCCAGTGCTTCGTGTGTCTCCTCCAATAAACCATCCATGGTGCAACGAACACAGTGAAATCACAAGTGCACCAGGGCTGCTTAACGTAAGACTCTTCTCGTTGACCTTTCTATTTGTTGGAACCACAAAAACACTGTTCTTTTTGTGTATTAGTTTACAGTACACAGTGATCTAGGTAGAGTTGTTCAAGCTATCATCAGAGAGTTCAGTAAGAATCCTCCTCAATTGTTGGAGGACATATCTCCAGGATCCATTAAATCGCATAGAGGTGAATGTCCAGAGAAGTGACCGAAGGACTGAATGGGTACGATCATGATGATATTGATGAATTTTATACATGATTACAGATCTACAAGGAAGGAATTCTCCATCGTACACCCTGCAACGTTACCCAGACATCCCAGCCACGTCGTTCAATTCCTACTATACCACGCAGTTCCCACAATTCTCGTCCGCCAGCGCAAGTTCTTGTATTTTCAATTACAATCACAGCAATTCAAGCAGTCAGTATTCCACAGACAGCCACACGAAGTTCGGCTCGTCGTCGCAACACTCAGCCGCGTACAATGTCTCCGATTCGCGAAGCAGGTCGCTTCACAACACAGATCCAACGACCACATACAAATCGAATCAACAAGGGTCGTACATGAATTCCCATTACTCTAACACGAATTATCATCAGCAGTCGTTGCCCAGTCAGATGCCGACTAAAGCTCCGCAGAGCGACCTGTTTCCAGAGCTGAACAGTCTGAGCAACGAGGAATTGAAGCGACTCAGCGAGGACGAGGATAGGCTGGACGAATTTTTAGAGAAACATTCCGAACTGAAAAACGTTAACGCGGCCATCGACGATGCAATCGATTGGGTCCAAAAAACTGCCGGTAATGTACTTTCAGTAGATCAAGAGCAATTTCAATAATTACTACCACAGACGAGGTGTAGGAGTAGGAAATTTCATCCAATGTATTTTTTCGGCTGACTTTTTCTGAGACGACGTCGCCCCATTTCCATTTTAGTGCAACCGGCAAATCACAGGCTTTTTAAGGTGTCGGTACTACAATTTAGGTGGGCCCACCAATTCCCATAAGATGAAAAGTCTATTCTTATGCCTCGTCGGTGCTACTACCCTGTAAGTTGCCATTGGGAGCATCCTCTTTGTTACCACTAATTTTTGTTGTTTTCAGAGACCAACGTAGCCAAAGAACCCGAGCTTAGAGAATTGCAGTCTGACGTGGCGAACAAAGTGCAGACGGTTGCTGCACTGAAGGCCAGATACGATCAGCTGATACAACGATACAACAATCTGTCCGAAGTGTTCACCCCGGATCACATAAAGGAATGCCTGAGAAAGGGAGCGGACGAGAGTCACGAGGAAAGCGAGAGAATCGCTGAGGATTTCCTGAACAGGAAAATAGACGTGGAACGTTTCCTGAGCACGTACATAGAATGCAGGAAGCTAGGTCAGGCGAGAAGGACTAAAGAGGAGAAGCTCGCGCATCAGCTGAACGAATTGAAACGGGCTGGTTATTAAAGCATATACACACACCACATACAGCTGTGTGTAACCACGAGTTTTTTTTTCTTTTTTTCTATTGAATCGAACAATCTGTAAATAACGCCTAGTTAAATTAAACGACACTGTGAATTCGAATGGCATTCGTGTTTACCAAAAAAAAAAATATTCTATATTATGGCAGAAGGCACTCGCTGGCAGAGAACACTTTCGTAACGTATCGCTACGTTACGTCACCGCTTGTTACATGTATTTGTGCTGCTCATCGAAATTAGTTCGATTGTGTTCACGACATTCCGAATGAATCGTTAGGCAGGATTCGGTTGGAGAAACGAGAAGGAAGAGAGGGAGAAAAGAACTGTGTGCCGGTTCCGAAACCGAGAGAGAAACTACGCATTGTATGTAAAACGCTTGAGTTGATTTTAAATGTACTTATCTTTCCGTACAGAAAGTGGTTGTTGAATGGAATCAAGTATATATATATATATATATATATAGCTGTTTGTGCAGCGATGTGTTACAAAACTGCACCGACATCCACACTCCGATGAAGCACGTTTTTTTACCGTGTAAATAAAAATGGTGCGCGAGAAAGAGAAACGAGCACGAATTACAGAATATCGATTTTCCAAAGTTTTGCTATTCGGTGGTGTGTTAAACATAATTACTTATCCTAAGGATTGTTCCTACTACGTAACGTATACTTGAAATTGTATAGAAGCGCGAAATCTGAGGAATGCGAAAATGCTTTTGGTTTTTCTATAAAAAAAAATAAGAGACAAAAAAAGAAACATAACTATGGTGTACATGTAATCCTCTCACTAGTTGGATCGTTTATCCGTCATTAAAAAAACACGGCTTGCGATTCGTCGAAACGAAGTTACAAATGTGAAGATAATTATGTAGAGCATCGTAAGTTGTAAATAATTTAAGAATGGTTCAAACGAGTTTTTAATAAAAAAAAAAGAAACAAGGAAAATGTGAATTCAAACGATGTCGTTAACGAATTATTTCGCTGGTATCTTACCAAGAGACAATGTACGAGTACAAATGCAACCTAATAGTTTTTATTTCCGTACAAACACTTACGATTACTAATTTCTTCCGTGTGGTCTATTCTCGTATTAGAAAAATAACATTACCGAGGGAGACAGGTGGTTTTTTTTTCCTTAAGCAAGTTTGTAATTCACTTCGACCGTTAAATTCCCGATTAATTTCGATAAACATTGCTACTCGATAGGTTAACATGTGTGTACATACAGCTCTAAACGATTCTTGTCGCATGCAGATGGTCTCGAACGACAAGAATTATTCGAGGCCACATTTAGACACTATCTACACACGGTTTCCTTCTCATTCCTAATGATAATACATTCCCATGTTTCAATTATTATCGACAATGTCCTATAACCTGTACAGCTGATCAAGGATCAACGAACGAAATCATGATGTATCGAGTGCCATTTGTTACTCTCAGCCCCTCATGATAATGTGTAAGCCTTCCAGGATGCATCAACATCCAGCCAGGTTTGGTATCCGTCACGGAACAATTGTACCGAATGAATCTGCAGCCTCCACCCTCGTAATCTACCCCCGCCCTGTTCAAAGCTATGTTGACCGTATAGGTAGAACTGTCGTGGTGTGGTTTCAAGGATGGTTGTTCGTCTGGGCGATATCTCACGACGAAGTTCATCAGAGCACGAGGTGGCTGTTGATATTTAACAAAGAGGTAATTGTTGAACGAGGCGAGTATACTTGTAGGTAAATAATACAGTGATGTTATAAACCCAGTGTGCCCCTGGACAGAAGGTTCCTCGGTTCTAGAATCAAGTTCAGCTTTCTAAACATTTTCAGAATTGGCTTCAATCAGAAATTATTTGAAAGGAGAAGAAGTATACCCTCTGTTGGCTACTATCCAAACCTCTGTTCATGGTCTCGCAGAGCTTATTGCCTCACTGTATGTTCAACACCTTTATGTGATCATTTGATATGCAATTGGAAGAGAAAGAATACGAAGCCTGTCACCAGAAAGCGGTGCTACCAGAGACCAAAAATAACATTTTTAATATTTTTTGGAAGAAAATCATTGAGTAATAAGTCATTGTTATTTAAATGGAAACCAGATATTAATAAGTCCCGAAGAAATTTTTCTAATCATGACGTGAATAAAAAATATGGATTTTTAACTATTCTGGTTACGAATTACCATTATAAATAATCAAAATTTTGCTTTGGTTACCGATAACAATTATCGATAGAATAGTTAGGGTCTCTGGGTGCGACTGATAAACAAGAAAAAGCACAGAGGTGGAATTTCTATGTACAGGTGCCAAGTGATTTTGTGCAACCAAATAAGAATATTCCCGAATCTTTTAGGGTCTCTGGTGACTCTTACGCTCGTGTAGTAGCCTACAAAAACGTGTTCTTGCAAGGGGCCGACATATTCGATCAGAAAGTCTGACCAAGATTCGTGGAGGCCGACTTGTCTCATATGAACGTCTCGCGTTGGGACGGCTTCGTATCCACCGTCGATACGTGGATCCTAAAAATGATCAATGCATGCATTAGAGGAGGTAATTTGATGCCCTTACGTCGTGGAAATATCCGGTGAACACGAACTCCTGCAAAGGTCTAACGTACTCCTTTAAGAAGTATAGCCACTGAGATTCATAGTTCACTTGTGTCATATGAATGTCACGAGTTGGCACGTTTTCGTAACCACCCGATAACCTGGGATCCTGTTGAACAAATCAACGTCTTATCATGTAATAATAACGATCAGAATAACATTTCTGCACTGTTCTTCCCGAACTCTAAAACTCCCGAGAATGTTCAAGTTTTCAAACTGTGACGGTTACACCTGAGATCTATCTGCTTAACCAATCGTGAAGTAAAATACAGAAACTAATGAATTATCATACATTATTTGTCCCGTCTGACCACTTCCCATACGCCTCCATAACCTCCACCAGTTCCTTTGTATACCTTTCGTTGACTATTGGGAACCAATACACATCTGGACACGGCTACAAGGAAATATTGAACTTATTAAGAATTTTTCTGTTTAAGGGATAAGAATTCGAAATGAATTTACGGAGGTTCACCTGCACGGGAGTTTTTTCAGGATTAAAGTTCTCGGAATAATCCTCGTGGAGATATCTTTTCTCCCAATCCAACTTATTGTCCAGGTTCTGGTACAGATCCGGATTGGTCAGGGAAATGTCGTAATTATCTGGATTAACGAGATGCCCGAAGTCCACCCTGTTGTTGACATACATGAAGATAGATCGTTCTCTGTTTGCGTGGGCAAAGGCCATGTCTGTATCTAAATCTCGTTCAGAGTACGATGGACGAGTCGCTTTGTTCCTAATCAACGTGGCGTTAATCAAGTAACAGTTACTGACAAAGGGTACATTCCAGAGTCCCCTAGAAACAAAGAAAAAAAAAAAGACTGTTATTTCCAAAAATTAATGAGACTCCTTATCCAAATTGATTCTTAAACATCCTGCTCCGAACACCCCCGTTCTATTAAATAAATATTGAAATTGAGGTATCATTTCTGATTCAACAAACGCCACTATGTGTGGGTATCAGCGCGCTCTGGCGTTCTCAGAAGATCACAAGGCCAGCGAAGGAATCAGATGCGTAGGGCCACGGGAGACCGATACAGCCCGAGTTCAGCCCAGCCATGAGAGACAATGTTGTTTTTCAAGAGGTCGTCGGTTAAATATTTTGTAAGGCAATCCGTTCTAATGCCGTGATTGGCCGATGAACACACTGGCAATGGGTTATGCAGAAATTATCCAATTGAGATTCATAACTCTGTCACCAGTGACAGCAAGCTGATCGAGCACAGTCCCCATTTATATTTTAGGCTGCAGAAGGAACCCAAAGCCGCCGATCTTACTTGGCCACACTTGACAGAAGTGGTGTCTGCTGTCGGATCAGTTCCTGTCGCGCTTCTTTTACAATAAAGTAGCAACCGATAGTGTGTAATTTCTTATATGGTTGTGTAATTTTCTTTACTTATGTGTAAATTTATACTTTATATGTGAACTCTTGTATGGTCGACGCTTGATTAAATGAGATATTCTGACCACCGCGACAAATGACGAGATGCAGACTTCTGTGCCTGTTCTTCTTCATCGGTCTGCTGACGATCGGCACAGACGCAGCGAAAGGCGGAGGTGGCAGAGGTAGCAGCAGAGGACGTAGCGGACGTGTGTACAAGTCGAGGATGCCGATTTTGATTCCTCATCGAAATCCAGCCAGCGCAAACTACTACGAGCACAAAGACGTGAGTCCAATATATACTGCGGATGTTTTGTACAAGTGGTAGCAATTTTTCTGGACTACAATAATCCTTCGATGAACGCGACACGAGCAACGGCGTTATTCCCACCATTGGGGGAGTCCCCCTGTGAAACCAATCAAAACAGAGACAACAGAAGCTAAGCAGAGATTCGGCTTCGGCGTTACAATGTCCGAATGTTACAGGGTGCGAGAATAGTGAAAGCGTCCCACTTTGAATTGGATTACATGTTGGGCAGGAAGATCACGTTTGTCTGTATGGCCACCGGGTATCCGAGGCCTGCGATCACTTGGCTCAAGGATGGAATCGAGCTGTACCATCACAAATTCTTTCAGGTACTTTTGCCACTCGACTCTAAACAGTAGAAAGAGTGTTAATATTTGAAAATATTCCTTTTGCAGGTCCACGAGTGGCCTGTGGGCAACGATACGTTGAAATCAAAGATGGAAATCGATCCTGCCACGCAAAAGGACGCTGGATACTATGAGTGTCAAGCGGACAATCAGTATGCCGTCGATCGACGTGGCTTCAGGACAGATTACGTCATGATCACTTACTAAAATATTGGTTTCAATAAAAAGTTTTGCGTGCAATACGATGGTTAATCGATAACGAGATTTCAAATGTTTCGATTTTAGAAAATATCTTTGGTAAGGTAATTGGTAACTAACTCTTTCATACGGAAAAAAAAAAGAGAATGTAAATAATCGTTTCTGAAAACTGATGAGTAACGCCACCGTAAGATCTGTCCACTGATAATTTGCTCAATTAAAATGTAACTGTAATTAACTACGGATCGGTTACTATGCTCGGTTGCTTTCTTCGACATATACACATACACACGCTCCATCGTTACTAAGAATTTCAACGCGTGACGGCACACTTGGAAATGCAGCGTTCCCCCAGCTCTCGTTCATTAAATCACAATTGACTCTCATAAGGGTGGCACACACGTCTGGTCTGCGAGGCGTAAAACACACTGAAAGTGGTTCATCGTCGCAGATCCATGTGATAAATCAGCAAACTATTAAAAGATTCCCCTAAAAAAAAAAGAATTCAAATTTTATAGGAATCTGCTCAAAATCAGATTTCCAGATAAATTTCAAAAAGGTGAAGAAGGTTATTCGACAAAAATGACCGATTTTAGGAATTTAGGAGACTACCTCTGTCTCTTATCAATTGACTCTAAATTGTTTGTATACGGGCTTGCATTTAACGATCATCGAGTGAACAGATTTAAAATGCATCGATGACCGACATGCAATAGGTGTCAAAGGAGTAATCAGCTCACGTATACGCCATACGAGTGCAGCGTTCACCAGTATCTACCTATACGTTTGTAATAGATAGGAGAGGACACTGGGGGAGTAATGATTAGGTGGCTGTCAGTTAGATTATCATCATTGCTCGGTGAGTATCTGCACAGTGCAGTATTTCGAATAGTGTCCCTCTATCCTTGAAGGCCAGAATCCAACGTTTGATCAAAAACACCCAAACTGTATCCCAGTCTCACTCCCCCAATTACTTTCTAGTTGATTTTCTTCTCAAAGTGTTGTCTCGAAGTCATGCCACGCTCCATGATGCTGTCGTTGCTGATAATTCTGCTGCTGAACAGTCAAGAGAGTCTTGGACGTAGAGGACGTACCAGAGGCAAAACTAGGTCGCGTCTCCAGATAGGTCTGCCAATAACAGGGAAATACCGTGATCCAGAGAGTGATCAGTACTACAACAACAACAATGTAGGTAGATCTCATAGATGAAGCAAGTTCTCATTTCTTGACTGGTCTGTTTCCAAAATATCTGTCCAGGGTGCAAAGATACTGTTGGCGTCGCACTTCGACTTGGAGTACGTTTTGGGCCACAAGATCGCCTTTCTCTGTGTTGCACGTGGAAATCCACGACCGCACATCACATGGTTCAAGGACGGCGCTGAGATTTACAGTCATCATTACCTGCATGTATGTATATTCGATCCTAAATTGATGAATAGTAAGTCGTGAATTGTTGCGATTCAACGAACGTTTGATGTACAGGTACACGAATGGCAAATGGGACCGGATAAAGTGAAATCGAAGCTAGAGATCGATCCTGCGACTCAAATGGATGCCGGGGTGTACGAGTGCTCCGCCGATAATATGTACAGTATCGATCGTAGATCCTTCAAAACTGACTTTTCCATCGCTTTCGATTAACTTTACGTTTTCTCCAGTAATTATAGACCAACTGTTTAAAACTATGGCACAATTCTTAGAATGTATAGCTTCTGTACTCTGAGTTGGGTAATAAATGCAGTTTATAGCGACGGAGGTGAAGCATTTAATTCTACACTAAACTCCCTCACCTTCTTTCATTCTTCACGATCTCCATGTAGTCGAAGCTCCTTGCATAGAATCCGTCATCCATAATCGCGCCCCAGAAATTGCTCCACATTTTGTACGGCCTGACCAGCAACGGCGCGACGATTCCACGTTGCTGTTCCACCAGAAGTTTCAGCGTGTAATCGTTGTCCAGGTGAGCGACCGAGTCAATGGAAAAATATCCGTCGCATTCCTTCAACAAGCAATAATCCCTATGGAACAGTATTTGTTTAAAAGCAACGAAAATGCTAACAGGTATTCGCCTCGAGATAAGTCTTTCGCACATACATGGCAATGTTTCTTGCGTCGACCTCGTCAACACGGTCGCTGGCAAGGATCTGCTTGCTGCTTCTGTATTCTGTCGCGTACTTCCTCATGAACCTATCCACGGTGTCCTGATGGTACTTCACGTTGATGTGGACAAACAGATGCAGTTTCGATTTCGGATACAACAGTTTGTACACATCCATGAAGAATTCCTCCAAGAACGGAGTTGGCCTTTCAATGAATATCGCGATTACTAAAACTGGATACGTCTCAGGTAATGTTTTATCCAACTCTATTGTCTCTTCCCAGCACATCACGCATCCTTCTTCAGGGTTCCAAGCCTGGGCCAAGTAATTACCCAACGAATTCAAGGACAACTTGCTGCGACCATTGCCATGGAGTATCAAAGGTTCCGTGTTGTACACAGTGTTCATAAGAGAAGCTTTTCCACCTTCGAACTTCAATTCCACGTCGGCTGTCAACAGAAATTCCGTCAGTTAGGCGGGATTTTATCGGAGAAGCTAGACCACCTTTACGTACCTACAGCAGCGTAGAGATTCTGAAATATGTCGGACTTGTGATCCAATTTAATTTTATGTTGCTCCCTTAAAGTGACGTCGAGATACGCTTTAGTATAAAACAGCTGATCGTCGTCTTTATTTTTAATGGGATTATAAGTTATAATCGCATAGACATCCGAAGCATAACCAATGAAACTGCCGGAATTTAGAAAACGTTTCCCACGGGTTACAGGAGGATACTTGGATGCCAATGATCTGTCTGGCCAACAGTGTCCCTCCGCAGAGAACAAAATTCTGGCTTTCGTTCTCCTGAACCTGTTGATGATCTCCTCTAAGCCACTCAGGAATATTACATCGTAACTGAAAGATGAAAATAGGTATCAGGACTGAATAATCGAGTCTGTTAAGTGTAAGGACTACTGAAGATCACCTGTCTGTAAATAGCACAATTTTATCTTGGTCATCTTGATAATCCTGTAGGGCTTCCTTCAGAAGCTTAACCTTGTATCCTCCTCCAGTACTGGTCATACTACCACCTTCCCAGGGCTCTCCCAAACCGAGCACAATCAGGTTATCGCGGAACCCATGGACGTCAACCGAACGCAGGTACCTCTTATAACCGTCCGTTTCATTACTGGCAACGGTGTACACGAGAACATCTGAAATACATAAAATTTGCAATAATTTTAATTCAGAATAGGCACTTTAAAACCTACAATTTGTTCATTTAAACAACAAATCCCTAATAATTTAATTGCACACTTTTGCAGTGCATAACAAGTCCTTGAATTTTTATTCTAATAATTTTGTTATATCCACCATTGTTCTCGAGTTATACAGGAAAATACATTAACTCTTAAGGGATGTTTTCAAGAAAAAGAAAAATTCCCTGTTCTGAGGTCCCCTACAAACCCCCAAAGTGTGAGCGTTACAGAGTACAAAAATACATTTTCGAACGTAGGAGTCAGTGTATATACATATGTTTTCTCTCGAACGTGTTTTTTTTGTTTAAAACCGTGTATATGCTATGTACATGGTTTCCCGTATACTTGGCGATGAACTCGTATATTTTTGGCGTAGGGTAAAGTAGCCTAATATGAGACCCCAGCCTATTTCCGTTACCAATTTCAAAAAATGCACTACACACAATGTGTGAAAAAAAGATATAAAAAATAAGTTTTGACAAGATGAAATCTGGGTCTCATATTAGGCGACCAGTTTTTGAATTCATATTTTTTTATACTTTTAATTTCTATTTTATTATGATGGCACTCTATCTGCTTTATTATAATTTATAATATTATTTTAGTATTTTAAATAAATGTTCTAGTATTTCAATAAAAGTATTTTTACTCGAGAATTATGCGTGCTTAAAGAAATGGGTCTCATATTCGGGTACTTTATTAAAATCAACGCTCGGCCACCAGTTCCAGAATCGTTTACACTTTTTCCATCGTGACATCATGATCGGAATGGTAACATAAACGAGCCCCCGGCGGTTACGCCCACGAATCATGTCATCTCTCGACGGAACGGTGAAGTATGTAGCTCACGAACGTATCCATAGAATGGGACAAATAGAAAAGGTCACACCCGGTACGCAACTCTATCGTTGTTTGAATTAAGGACAGAAAAATGGAATATTTACTTCGCATGATCGCGTGGGCGCTCGTTCACGACGTCCTTGTAACGCAGAAATCTCAATTTTGTCTCTTTAATATACAGATTTCTCAACGGACAAATTTCGGTTGGTTTGAAAATCAATTCCGGGAATCGGACAAAAGTACATCCGGAATCCGCGGCGAACGCAATGATACCGGAAACGTAGAGATAACGAGCCAACGCACTCGATCCAGTTATCCACCGAACGGTAGAAGCCAGAAGAGCCGAATTCACGTTCCTTTTGTTGTTTGTGTTCGCGGTCAATGCATCGTGATAACTGTAAATTCGTGTTCTTCCAATTAAACCCATAAATATGGGCGAAGTAACTGTCTCACGGGGAACTAGGAACATCTGATTAAAAGATGCGGCGAGGTGCATCGGTGAAATGAAAATGCACCTTTGTTGGGTATGAAATTACAGAAACAGAATGATACAATGGAAACCCAAATTTACCCCCGTGAATTTTCATTGTTAATTAGTAGCTCGATCAAGCAATTGCATTTATAAATTGTGTATTCATATAAACGTCCACGGTCTAGGGATTAATTAACGGACAACCTATTATTAATCCATGGTAATTGCATGATCCAGAGCACAAAAGTATTTTAAATTAGTAAATTGATGAATGAATAGAGACAGGCGAAGCGCAATATCACTACACACCGTCAGCTTCTTCGTTGGAAATCGGACACCCTGTAGAGAGGCTGCGCTCAACCCCTCCCATTCGTTTCTGCCGACGCACATTAATCTCGGTATCGTAAGGCGACGAGCAATGAAGCAACGCGGGCGAAACGATTCCCTTATTCCATCGTAAAATTATGTCACGTCTCGTGAACGAATCGACTGAAAGAGGTCAACTGTTCTTGGTCCAGTCGCCTGATAAACGAGATAAAACAATTCCAAGGAAACTAGTATTCATTATTTCAAGCGAAGACGACAGAAGACACTGTACTCACGAAAACGAACCTCACGACGTCCTAATTGCAATAATTATTAACGTTCAGGCACTAGATTGTCGAATGGGAAAAATTATTCCCAACTTTCGTTACAGCTAACCTTCTTCAGGGGTCGAACGACACACAGATACTAAATCGTGTGTGAAATGAACCGACAAACTTCGGGACCGTACGGAGAAATAATATGCAAACATCGGTTTCGTAATCTTTTTGCAAGGATACGACTTACACCTAAACATCCTCAGGTATGCATAACAACTGGTTTCGGTAATCCAGGGACTGGCGACCATTCCAGGTCATTGCACCCAAAACTTTCCCTCCCGGGCGACCACAAAAAAAGAACCACGAATAATACCCCACTACCCCTTATAATTATTAAAATTAGATACACCCAAAATATTTTACGATCGTCAATTTCGCACTAAACTATGAAAAAAATGGCTTTCCTAGAGTGAACAATACAGTTGTGATTGTGAAGTATACCCCTAACAAGACTATTATGAAATGCTAGATCGTTCCCAACCCCACCGGGCGATCACAAACAAAAGAACCACGAATAATACCCCACTACCCTTATTACTATTAAAAAAAGTACACCCAAAACATTTTACGACCGTCAATTTCGCACTGACTAGATGAAAAAAATGACTTTCGTAGAGTGAATAATACAGTGGTGATCGTGAAGTAAACCCCCAACAAGACGAAGAGTATCGGTAGAAGGCTCCAGATGAAAAGCTAGGTCGTTCCCAGCACCGAAACGGGAAGGTTTTCATTCATGTTTATCTGAATGAAGATTTTCACGAATAAACTGTTGGTTAGGTGGCGAATGGAACGAAACTATTTACCGTTTGTATTTACCGTCGACGGTGTCTCGCTGACCACGTGATACGCGAGGAATAAGCACCAGAGAAAGCAGCATCCAACATATTTTTCACGCATTTTTTAGAGACCGAGAACCACGATACGTGACCACGAGCGCGGCGAACGCACTGTTCCAACTAAAGATCCAAGCCCCGAACAGCGGGACGCAAGTTCGTCGTCGCTGCTCCCACGCTCCCACGCTTTTTCGACGAAAGTTACTATCTTCGACGTGCACGTTCGCCGTCGGTCCCTCGATCACGCCTTAACGTCTTGGCTACAGCAGTCAACAGCTGTTCGGATGATGGAGAAAACACAACGAGCCGCGTTTTCATTTCGATTCGATCCACGATTGCAGTACATCGTTGCACCAACTTGTACTTGAATAGATGAAAGTATTTTTATAGGTTAGTTTTATTTTACTAGCAAGAAAATCGTCGGCTTGAAAATGTTACTATTTATGAGTTAATAGTTATAATTAACATTAAATTATGATTTCGAACTTTTTGGGCCTGTGGATTTTATGCGTTTACGGTGTATGCACATGTCCGAAACTGAATAAAGTAAATACTTTTACGAAAGTTAATGGAGTTGTTGGTTTACCTTCTTCTTTAGTGAAGTGGATTCAACGTTGAATCTAGCTTTTGTAACGTATTGATAATGGAAATAGTCATTTGTAAATTATCAGCGGTTTAATTATGATATTATGACGGCTATCTTTGCTGTCCAGATGAAGAATCTCTCGAGAAATAATGCGCACATGTACCAATTTACGAATATCCAATTCTCTGTATCTTAATCTAATAATTTCGAATTGGATTAGAATTCTGGGGGTGATTCTTTACTAATCAGAAATTAATTGTCTTGAGATGCATTGTTACAGTAACATAGCATGTGTCTGTACACATGTACATATCAGGATTGAATAGAAAGAATGTCAACAGTTTAAATAGATCCTTATACTTTTGTAAGTTGGAAATTAACTAATTTAACCATACCTTTGGAACGGTTGGAACCTTGTCAATGACAGTTGATGACAGTCAATGATGTTTAAACGACAATGAAACTTCAGACAGTTGTTCAAGGCACATAGGACACAGTTATCGACTGGACGAACTTTGCATTTCGTACCGGAAATACATAGAAGATGTCATTATAACTGTATATCGACTGTAGGTACAACCGAGTCACGTGAGAATACCAAAAATTTAAATTTTTTTCCCCGTTATTTTCTTTATCATGTATTATGAACTACACCTGTGCAATTTATATAAGAAACCATATTGTACATTAGTTCGTCATTAATATCTCTTCAAAAATAATGAAATATTAAATAAATTCGGTTATTTACAACCAGGAACATCTTTACTCACCCTTCAGAATAACATCGCCCGTTCCGTTTGTATTTCTGAAACGTCCGTCGACAATCTCCTCGAATATACTCGACGAGTCACATGCGCACGACGAATTTTCGCGATCCACTTGACTTAAATTGAAACAAACTTCCTCGGCTGACATAAGGTGACTTATGTAATTTAATAACAGAACACCAAACGACGCAATGTATCCCCTTCTGCTCAGCATGGCTCCCTGCGCACAAATCCTACAGTCAATAATTCTTGCTGAATTTATACACACTTTACAGATGCTCAACGGCACGAGGCATGAAGAATTAATGAAACAAATATGCATACAGCATTCACTGCACTAGGAAAAAAAAAAAGAATATCCCGTTACTTTAACGTTACCGCGAGTGCAATTAGATAACCGTGTCTGAAGCGAACTGTAACCGAGGAACTGTTAGAACTAAATCGATCCAGGTGAACGATCGGATCATTTATAGGCGAGATGAAATTCGAAAGCGCAACGGATCACAGTTTTTTGTTGGTAAAAGAATGCGAGAGCCTATCCACCGTGACCATGCGTCTTTTTCTCCCCATTACTTCCTGAAATAACCATCTGCCTTTTCGTACCGTGTTCACCGTTCATGAATTACCAAAGTTCCACGAGTCATGAAATGTATACCGTATGAAAAAAAAAAAATTGCACGAGAAATAAGGGTTATCGTGTATGTAGGTAATTAAGTTAGGTACGAGAGCCGAACTAATGCCCAACAAATGGGATTAAGCCTCGGCTTAATACGATTACTGGGGCAGCAGGGTAGACGATGCTGAGGCTTCTTTTACGTTTCCGATGGAAATCGCTGGCCAGTGTTCGTAGATCAGTGATCGCCGGTATTCCGTCCCAAGTTCCGTGGCGATTCCCAAAACGAGCCGAGACACATCCAGAAAATGGGGAAGGATGACGCCGAGACGGTAGCTTTGAAGCAGGAATTGGAGGATCTGATAAACAGATGCAAGGTTGTATCAGACACACCATGGGATAAAACGATAAAACAGAGAGATTGGTAACGGTGCTTACTTCTTGCTTAACAACAACAAAAACGTTTCTGCCCTGTGCACACGCCAGGAGGACCAAAAGAAGCAAATGGATACCACCTTGGAGGAGGTGTGTAACGGGGTAGCGGACGCTCCCAAAGTCAAATTAAGTACAAAAAAGCTACTAAAAGGACACATCAACAAGGTGAACTCTGTGCATTACAGTGGCGACAGTAGGTCAGTCTTCATCGTATCGATCCGTTCATTTTCTCCTTCAACTGTGCAGTCAAGCGTGACGATTTTATGTTCCCCTGATTTTGCGTTGACTGGAGTCAGACAGACCAAAAGAAACCTTCTTTTCAGACATTGCGTGACAGGCTCGTTAGATGGGAAGCTGATTATCTGGGACTCGTGGACCGGAAATAAGGTCCAGGTGATACCGTTGCGGTCAGCGTGGGTGATGTCTGTGGCGTTTGCCCCCTCGGGGAACTTTGTCGCCTGTGGTGGCATGGACAACATGTGTACCGTCTACGATGTGAACAATCGTGACGCCACTGGCTCCGCCAAGATAGTCAGAGAGCTGCTGGGATACGAGGGTTTTCTCTCCTCCTGTAGATTCCTGGAGGACAAGAAAATCATCACTGGTTCCGGTGACATGAAAATGTACGCAGAGTCCTAAAACTATTACACAAGTCTAAACGGTACAGTAAATCCTCGATGAGTGTTCGAAGGCTCCTCAGTACTGACAAGGAGATGTCCCCAGGTGTAACGCTGGCTTTTCAATTACGTTTAGCACAGTGATAGATCTTGGAATTCTGAAGCCAATGATATTTAATGTTGTTTGAAGTTTTGGAACACTCATCCAGGATTTACTGTACTATGATGTTAATGTTTTTTTTTTTGGACAGCTGTATATGGGATCTGGAAGCGAATAAAAAGACAACAGACTTCCCTGCGCACGCGGGGGACGTTGTCAGCATCAGTTTATCCCCTGACATGAGCCATTACATCACCGGATCGGTCGATAGAACGTGCAAGCTATGGGACGTCAGAGAAGAGACCGCGAAGCAGACTTTCTTCGGACACGAGGCTGATGTGAATTCCGTTTGCGTAAGTACTATTGATCACTGATTGACTATTCCTACGAATAAAACTAGTAACCGATTTTCTGCTGACTTTGGAGGATTGGTTATCACTTAGCCTGCGGATGTTTGTGCAAATATAGAATTTTATAGGTTGATTTCTCGCGACTGAACGCGAAGAAAAATTTGTTTAGCCCGTCAAGGGTTCTCATAGGTTCGAAATAACAAGAAAACCTGAAACTTTCTACTATAATTACATTTTTTGCCGATTGTTCCAGTACCATCCGTCAGGGCATGCTTTTGTAACCGCCTCGGAGGATAAGACGGCAAGACTATGGGACCTGAGATCCGATCAGCAGCTGGCTTCGTTCAAGCCGCCGAATTCGAACCCTGGATTCACGTCGTGCGGCCTGTCGGTGAGCGGTAGATTTATATTCTGCGGAAGTGACGACAATTCTATTCACATCTGGGACACACTGAAGAACCAGTACAACGGTGAGCGTTTCGTTGTAGTTCCTGAAATAGTTTTGAAGAATTAGTCCGACGATTTAACGCAATGTTTCTTTGATTGTAAATTGCTTGTACCTTTGTCTCAAAGGTGTTATGACGGGACACGAGAACCGGGTAACGTCTCTGAGCGTCTCTGGGAATGGCATGGCCGTTGCTAGTTGCTCCTGGGATCAGAACGTTCGAATTTGGGTGTAGAAACCTGAGGTGCATGCTAGTAACGTCTCGGAGAGTTTTGAAGAGAGAGATAGGAAGAATCACAAGAACAGGATCAACCGATTTTCTTCCTCTTTAAGAATTCCTTCGAGTTTGCGCTTTGTTCTCTAGGTTTTTGATACTGGGATGAGTAGATCTACACGTTGTCTACGAGGAAATTATATTGTTATGCGTATTTCAGTCGAATAACCACGTGAATATTTAATTTATGTATGTATAAATGCCTGTAGCGTTTCTTGAATTTTCTAGCAGGAACCGCTTTTCGTATCTGTTGAAGAAAATAGTTCACTGGAGCTTAGTTTGTTTTTTTTTAAACTGAAAAAGAATAAATAAATGAACATTAGAAGAAGAAATATTAAATAAAACGGAAAATAAACGAGTAATAAAGTGAGTTTGAAAAATACAAACACGTCGATGCCTCTTTTCTCTCTTCCATTTTATATTATTCGTATGCGTTTATAAATAGTGCACATGATATTCACAAAGAAAAACTGCGACCCTAAACAGCGTATTTGAAAATATAGTTATTCGATTTTTCTCCTGAAGTTATTCTGATACATGTGGGGGAAAAATTTGATTCTTCGGAAACATTCTACGTGGGTAGCCTCCAGCCGGTGATTTACAATTTTCCATCGAATTTCGTTTTTATTTCTACATTATACATTTAACACGTCTCTGTGTCGATGTGAGTGGGGGGTGCCTCGTAAACCAAAAACAAAGAAAACGAGAAATTAGGAAAAAAGAGATCTCTTTCGTTTTGCGACGGCTGATACTTATAAAGAATTTGGTATTTTCTTTAGGCGTGAATCACACGAAGGTCAATGTATCACTTTAAATACAGTGACGAACCTGCTCGACATGATCTTCGTTTCACGACACACCTAGGCCAGTAGCTACATTTACCTGTATAACATAATTACACATAACTATGTACTCGATACACGTGCTACGGCATTATACTTTCAACGAACCGATTAGAGTAACGCTTCGATCGACGGTCAATGAACAATTACACCTGTGTCTCGGGTTCTAACAATCGCAAGGTTGAACTAAGGCGGAAGGTAACCTAGGAAACTCTCGAAAAACACAGATCCTTATGGAACAGCAGTACCCCTAGATCGCTGGGGTGTTCATACTGAAGTACCTAACGCAGAATTCAACATAAAATGTACAATTACACAGCGGAGATTCGACTTGGAATAATTTAAGATAAAAAATTGCCCTTAAAAAATCTTACGATAATTATATTACGTTATGCAACGCCCTTATGTACACAACTCGTTCATCTTCCAAACGAAAACAACACACGCCTCTCTCTCTCTCGTTCTCTCACTGCGAATCACAATCTGGAAACGTTCTCACACTGTTCGTGGGGGGTTGGGGAAGGTTGAATTCTTGATTAAAATCCATCTAGGTGAATCAAGAGAGCCACGATCACTGTGGCCCCTGCTTCTTTGGTTGCCCATTTGCTGTACTTGAATTCAGAAACACCACCGTCTGTCACGTCGGGACTGATGGTGTATGAACCAGGTCTAACCAGCAGCTGAAAAGCCGTGGAGGCGTTCAGCTTTTTGTTTGACTGGGTGTCGATGTATCTACAAAAACAGAAAACTCAATTAGAGCCAATCCCTTCTTCTGTAACACCTTTCCTACAACACGGTTAGAGAATTGTGTAGAATTGGGTAAAAGACCCCAATCACTGACACTGACATTACTGCACACTTCATGTCTTAACTGACCAAATACATAAGTTTTTATTATAATTCAATATGTATTAAAACAGTCTAGGATGACAGTGATTCGATAGATAGCAATAAATGGGTCTTTTACCCTAGTGTAGCTGTTGTTAGTTTCAAGACCCTAACCTACAAATAGCAGAAAATACTTACGGATACCTTCTGGTGAACTCTTCGGACGCGGCGTACTTTATACTCGGGGAGAAAGCTACCTGAGGATTCTGGTCCTCCGCTTTTGCGTTCATTGTCACGTTACTAACATCCAGCTGCTCCTTCGTCATTAATTCCCCTGTGTCCAAGATCAATCTGCACATGGAACGGATATTTATTGCACTTATCGCATCCACTGTCATTATATTTCCAGTGTATCCTTTTACCTGATTGCGTCCAGACGTATCCCATAAAAGGCAACATGCCATTTGTCTGTGGTGTTCTGTGGTATCTGACTGGCATTGATACTCTGCTTCAACGGGAACCTGGTCCAGCCAACTGGTACAGCGAAGTCTGCCGGCGGATCGCCTTTTCTGCAGATTGCACTGTCCCCTTCGACTTTATAACAGCCGCTACAGTAACACAGTACGTCCTCCAGAGCGAAAAACTCATCGGGCAAGACCAACGACTTCTTTAGCCTCATGCAGGCCTTCAAGTACTCGCACTTTCTCGACGAAATAACATTCGTTCCAGTGGTTATGGACGGAGCTTGTAGCAATTGCAGATACGACCCGTTGTGATTCGAAATCGTATTCTGTCCCGACAGGGTCGTGTTCCCGGTAACGGAATTGTTATCCACGGTATTGTTCCAAGACACGTTCGACCGCATCTCACTGAAGCCAGAGGAAACGGTGTTCGAGATGTCCGACGTCGCGTTGCTCAGAGTATTCTGTGAAGAGAACGTCTGCGACGAGGTCAACACGCTCTGGTGGCTGGAACTCAAGTTATTCCGTTGACTGTTGGACGCTATGCTTGCGTTTATCGCGTTGTTGCTGTTCAAGCTATTCATGTTGCTGGTGCTGTTCGCCGTGCAATTCTTAATATTAATATTCGTCGCGTTATTAATCTCTACATTTGTACACTCGCTGTGATTCAACTGGTTCGAGTTGTCGTAGCTTTTACTGCGAACGTTTCGGGTGTCGTTACTTGTATCTGTACTCGGCTCCAAGTTGTTGCTGTCGGGCACCTCAGGGTCCGGTTTGTTCTCTATGTTATTCGTTAAATGAGCATTGTCGTTGCTCAACCCGGAATACTCTACGATATTATCGGCCTTGACATTCGAGCTGCACTGACTGGACACACTCGGGGAGGTAGACGAAGACAGATCCAAGGACGCAGCTGCGACGATATTTTCCTTCTCGTGACACTCCAAGTCAGCCTTTTCCCTAGAATTTTCTGTGTCCTCTATCTTCGCTCTGGTAGACTCCGCCACGGTCCCGGGGTAATCGACGAAACCAGGTAAAAATGTCTCAGTTACGATGGAAATTTGTTCACACTGGCCATATAAATCTATCACGGCGTAAACGTAAGGGGGTAGATCCGTCGCAGCGACCCCTTGATCGATACCGTTGATCAGCAAACGTAATCCGTTGTCGCTGTCAATCACCAAACCTACCACGGTATTCGACTGCAGACTCTCCAAAGCAGACCCGTATTTCGTTTTCACCTGAAAACGATGAAACGATGATTTATTTCGAGAATCCGAAAACGACCATCGCTCTACCAAGGAGAGAACAAGTGGCCATTTCAAAAGTAAAAATTAGACATTGTCTAGAGCCACGCACGCCTACGGAATATCAAAAAATCCAGCTCCATAAATTCGAAGAGTCCGACTCTATAATGTCTACTGAACGCTTGATCCTCCACTGTTCCAAATATGACCTCCTCCGTAACAAATATAAATTAAAAATTTCACTCAAAGACAACTTAAAAGATATGAAAATACAAGACCTACTTGAATTTATTTGATGCGTCATGACACTCTAATTTAAAACAAAACAAAAAACGCTTTCTTACGGTTCTTATAATTTCATATAAATCTAATTAACACCTACCCTGATACCATTGTGGGACACCCAGTCGCTGCAGATGATCCACGAGTGTTTTTTGAAACCAAGAGCAGTCAACGGGAAATTCGCTTTCTCCGGTGAGATGCAGGTTACCCCGCAGAAAAGACTACCAACCCATCGGTCATTGGTCTTGTCTATTTTCACACAGAACGGCTTGTACTTTATCAGGGGACGACTAGACATTACGACACCTTGAAAAAAAACATACACACATGCATATTTCGTTTACGGGCGTTGTTATTACGTCATCCCCGAAAGAATTAATGGTACCTTGATTATAGCTAGCTACCCTCCGCGCGTTCGTTTTCGTTTCTAATTGGATATTTCGTCCATGGTTCTCGTGGAACTCGTAATTCCAATCGATTTCGTCTGTCGCCTGAACAGCAGGCTGTGTCGGCGTAAGCGTCGCCTCGTTCGCCAACTTTCCCTCGGATACGTCCACCGATGTGTCCATTCCGGCATCGCTACGAATAAATTAAAATATATAATTACAATAAATTAAAATATATACAAATATATAAATGATACTTTCTAAAGTAATTCATAAAGAGTAGAGCAAATATAGGAATTTCTTTCTTTTCTTAAGTATCATATTGGGTTCAGAATTGAATAAAAAATTGGTTTTGTCCTTTATCCTATTGTATAGACCTCTATAGGTTATAAATGTATAAAACCCGCAGTCTATATGTAACATATCTGTATAAATAAACACTTTGATAAGTTTCATTAGGACATACTTTCGTAGAACAGGAGGCATAGGGTCCAGCAACAATTCCAACGAGTCCTGCAGCCTCCAGCTGGCATTCGGCGAGACAGCAGCGTTCTGCTGCTTGCTACTCGTTGTATTCACAGCCACAGTCGCACCGAAAAGTTCGATCACAGCGTACACGCTTTCCGGTATGCTCGACGCTGCCACCCCCATGTCCTCGCCGTTTATGTAGAACTTCAAGTTACTCTCGTGCGTCCGTTTCATGCCGATTTTATCGCCCACCCGTAGCCACTCTAGACTTGGACAGTAATTCATGCAGAGAACGTAACCGTTGTGTCTGACCTCGTTACCTGAAACACACAGGAATTAAAAAAACAAAATATCACCTTTATACACCTGACATCACATGCAAAACTTTAAACCAAAATTGGTCCCCTAACGGAAGTCAAGTTTGCTCGCGAGGGTACAACTAATACTTGACCTCAGGTGACAAAGACATTTATTATTTCTTACCTGCTAAATACCAAGCATCGACTGGAATCGATCCCATAACAGTCACAAGATTCATAAACGTCAACCAATTTCCGCTTTCAGCGCTGATCACTCCAATCTTCAAACAACCACTCCACTCCCGTGCAACCTCTTTAATGGCGACCTCGAACAGCTCGTTGTTCTCTAATGGCGTTTCACTCAACAATATAGCATTATCGCACTCCCGACAGTTATTGTATTCCCTGGTCGCCACTGTTCGATCGCTGTTCAGCTGAATATTCAGGCCAGCTGATTCGTGGAACTTATGCATGATCTCCGTTTGAGCTTGCAGCTGGATCACGGACGTAGGCTGCTGACTAGTACTGTTCTCCGATGGTAAATACTGTTGGGTCATTGGATCCCTGCGTTCTGGCAGTACTATCGTGACCTGATAAGCGTGTCCAAACATAAATCAAATGTTTCCTTAATTTTTATTTGATAGAACGATCGCAGTACCTGAACACATTGACCGTATAAATCGATCACCGGATACACATGCGATGGTAAACCAGTACAGGCGGCTCCCTGATCAATCCCGTCTAAATAATAATGCAAAGTACCGTCCATGCATCGCATCATACCGATTCTATTACCCTCTACTAGCTTGTCCAGATCGCAGGCGTAATTATTCCTTAAAGTAACACCATCCCGCATAACGTTCGATCCGGACAGCATCCAGGTATCGTGATCGATATCGGTCATCGTCGACGGGAACACCAATTCGTCGGGCCTTATAACCGTCACACCTACGATATTCTCTTGTTAGGTCCACCAAAGGGGAACAAACATAATCAGACATGTTTAAACGCTGTTTTACCGGCTTCGATCGCCCCTGTCCATCGGTCCACCATTTTATCGATGGTCACTTCGAACATCTCGCCGTCCCTAAGCGCACGGTTCGCAATCACGATCGCCTCGTTGAATTCACCCAAAGCTCTGGGCCTCAAAGCAGTCAATCCATTGTTTATGATCTTAGCGTTCTTGCCGTGTATGTGATGAAACCTTAAGTCACTGTTCGTGGAACACAATCATCTGTCAAGGACAATACGTTCGAACTCTGTTCGAGAACCGATGAGACGTTTACAGACCTATACAAGGTGGTATTGCTGAAGCTCGAATTATTCGTAGTAGGACTGTAAAAGTCTGCGTTGTCCACTATAGTGGCCTGCGCCGCCTGTCCGTAAAGGTCGATCACACCATAGACCCTTTCGGGCACGTTCATCGCGGCTGCTCCTTGGTCGGCCCCATTTACATAAAAATGCAACGTCGCATTGTCCTTTCGCATCACACCAACACGGTCACCAACCTGCAATCGGTCGAGATTCTGTCCGTATTGAACTATAATGGCGGTTCCATTGTGCATCACACCGTTCTCTGTCATCATCCACGTGCCGGATCTGCAAGGGACATGACCACCTTCGAGCAATAACACGGGCGATAAACTTAACGTAAATTCTACAAAAGAACAAGCACGTAATTTTTTCATAGTGATCCCTCGACGAATGCGACACGAGCTACGGCGTTATTCCCCCTGTGAAACCAATCAATACAGAGTAAACAGAAGCTAAGCAGAGGCTTGGCTTTGGGCAAAGAAAAAAAAAAACAAATTTATGAAAGATTGAAAACCTTTCCCCGCCTTGCCATGAATGCTCCGAAGTGGAGTATGTCGCACTCATCGAGGCATTACTGTATTGTTTTACATACCTAACGTTTGTCATAGTGAAAGGGAACTCCAGTTCGGTGGGAGAATGAGTGGTGACACCTATCTCGATGGAACCGGCCCACTTTGTGACGATCTTGTCCAGTCTCACCTCGAACAACTCGTTTGGTTTAAGGGGCCTCGAAGTTAGCACGACGCCGTTGTTAAAATCGTCCATTACGCTGGAAAACAGTTATGTATGTGACGATATAATATATAAAATATGTTTCGGTGATTGGAAATATTTTAGAAAGTGCGTTTACTTAGGTCTGTGCGCTGTACGACCATTATTTATCACTTCCACATGTGTACCGCAACAGGTATGGAACATGAGCCTATCCGGTGGCTCTTCCTCCGTTTCTGAAAAATTAAAGCCTGGTATTAAATCCAGTTTAAAAAAAAATTACATTTTACATGTCTAGACTAATTATAATGTTAGCAGCCTCACCATTTAAACCCTGTAGCTGCAACGTGTTTCTTCTAGTAACTAAATTCTGTTCCTCTCTTTCGTCTCGATCCACGATCGTTACTTTCACTGTCATGCCGTAGAGATCGATAACGCCCCATACACCTGCAGGTACTTTAGCAGCAATACCTTGGTCTAAACCATTAATTAAATAATGAAGATTCCCATTACTTCGCCTTATCATGCCTACCCTGTCTCCTTCCTAAACGTTTACAACACATTAACGGAATTCTATTCGACGTGATTTCGATTAATTGTTACATTAATTATCATTCTTAATTGTACCCGTAACTCGTCCAAGTTGAACTCCCCGTATTCACGACACGTGCCCTTCCCGTTCACCAAGATCCCGCAACCAGACATCATGGTCGTTCCTGAACGCATGTTGGTCATCGTTGCGGGGAATTCTAACGCTGTTGGACTGTGCATGGTGACTCCAACTTCTATGCTGCCTGACCACTTGTGCACAAGCCTGTCGATTCGTACCTGTAATAATGTAACTTATCGATAAAATTCTGTCTCAAGCGATTCGAACATATTTGGACGTCTGAAGAGAAGGCACAGTTTCATTACCTCGAACAACTCGTTATCCCTCAACGGCCTATGAGTCATGACCACCCCATTATTAAATTCATCTAAAGGTCTTCTTCTCTCAGCCGTTCTGGCGTTGTTCGAGAGCTTCACCAGCGTGCCTACTCTCTCGTGAAACCTCAGTCTATCCTCTCTGATCGCGGCAAGGCTCGGGTTCTTCGGTAAATTCACATTCACATTAACGTTTAAATTAACATTCAAATTAGCGACTAGATTGGCCGTGGATGAATTGGACGCCTCCCCGAGGGCGTAATCGTTGTTTATTTCCACTTCGTCTTTAGGCTCGACAGACAGAACGGAGGCAGTCTGAGGATGTGTTATGGTCACCTGTACGCAATCGCCGTACATGTCTATAACCGCGAAAATCCGTTCTGGTATGTTCGACACGGCAACACCCTGAGAGATGCCGTTTATATAAAATACCAGATCATTCTGGAATAATAAGATATTATACAATGAGCGAGTTAAAACATATAAATAAGCATTGATATGTTATGTGTATGCAAACTACTTCAAGTAACGGATGCTGCAGTTCAAAATAGGGCCAAATACTTTTGCATACACTTGATATAATGGTTGGAACGTACGTTGGATGTTCTCATTACTCCTAAAGTATTTCCTTCTTCCAAGGTGCTCAGGTCCATCCCATACGTTTCCACTGTCCTGGCTCCGTTGTGGACTATACAGGACTTGGTCATGATCCATGTTCCTTGAGAGAGGTTGCCGGCACAGGCAGCCAGTTCTATCACTTCCGGATCACATTCTGTTACCCCAATCTCTATACTACCAGTCCATGATATCATCTGCAGAAAATGTAACTATAATCAGCGAGGCAATCAATTTTACGTTTAATGTTAACCCCAGTTTAGTCTTTCATTTATGGGGACCACTACATCACTGTAACGTTACATCAAAGTACACAATGGAACTTTACACCACTACTGGGCACGATTCGTTGACGACAGAGTTGGGCAAAATGTAATCTAATTACAAAATCTAAATTGCAATTACAATGTAATGGCAATGTAACTTCAGGGCAATTACAATTACGTTGTAATTTTTATTGTAAATTTAGTATATTTAATTACAATGTAATTGTCATGCAATTGTGATTTGTATTTTGTAATTAGATTACATTTTTCCCAACTCTGGTTGACGACAGATCAGTTGACAGTCTTTCAGAGACCGGGGCGCGCCAGTACAAACGTTAAACGGGAAACTTCAAGACAGTCGCGTTGTAAACAACACTTTTGACAGATGCAGGGGAACAGCAACGGTCCACCAGTGGACTGGACGGGTACGAGTTTTCCTGGTTTACCTTCTTGTCGATACGAACTTCGAACAGCTCGTCATCCTTGAGCGGCTCCGCGCTGAACACCAGCCCGTAATTGTACTCTGAGAAGTCTCGTACAGCCGTGCAATTGTTGTTCGTCAAAATAACACGGTGCCCGCATCGTTGATGAAACATGTCGACCATTTGTTGTGCACTGACCGTCGTCGACATATAACCAAACTATACATCACCCCCTCTCCTTTTTGTCGTCTACCCTCTCTCTCTTACTCTTGGACTAATACCTTGCTGTCCGTACTGCATCACCCCCCTCTACCTCCACGCTCCTCCCTTACTGGCAGTGGTGGACACGTAAAATACGCATAGTATAATACAAGTATGTACAGGGTGTAACAAAAAGTGTGAAGGTGAAACAAGTTGTACCTTCCATTGTTTGCTATTATTGGGCTTCAAAAGAAATCATTCGAAATACATGTTGAAGGACCCGAAAATGAGGGACTCGTGAGGTGATTTGAAACAAGTTGTACCTTCCATTGTTTGCTATTATTGGGCTTCAAAAGAAATCATTCGAAATACAGAAGACAAAGTACAATATAGATCTTTCGTGCTTGCTTCGATACTTATTGGTAAAGTTTGCTAACATTAACAAAACTCTATCGGTATGGAAATAACATAACGATTTTAAGAATTACAAGTCCATTTATAGTATGCTAAATTTGTTCTCCTTTAATTTGAAAAGGATTGTATCAAGACTCATTAGGAATGGAAAGAAATTTAAATTACTGCGGATCGACTATTGATCTTCGAGAATCAAAAGCTCGATAATCATTGATTTTGGCGGTAAGTTGAATCGAATCGAACTACGAATCGTTTCCAGGCTCGATTTAAATGTATCGCTGCCCCACCCCATTGCAGGCGATGAATCTCCCGTGATCGAATTTTTTTTCACCGTTTTTCGACTTAATCGCAGCGAGTTCGCCAATGCCGGTAAAATTGAAAAGGAAGAAAAAAATATGTGGACCTCATTTTCTCTTATTTCGCCTGAAAACAAATAAACCGGATTATTTACACACCTAACATGGAGAACGTAAACACGTTACATAACCTCTTGTAATTTTTACTACCTAGTGCGAACGGTTTTTTGTATTAAATTTTTTTTTCTTAAATACAGAAATAGCAACAGTTTTATGGAGGTTGTTCTGCGTGAAACGTTTTTAAAGAATCATAAAAATGATAAGCTTAGTAGCCATTGATTCTCACGTGCGTAAACGCAGGATAATTCTCAGGTGGTTTTGGAGGGACTCCAATAAATTGACGGAATAACACGTGTTATCTCGCCACATGAGTCATGCTGCTGTGCAGATATGAAAATGGGTATTGTAAAGCATAAGATATGGTTGGTAATTTGTTAAATTACATTAGGCATTATATTACATTATATTATGGCATTCAGTTACAAAAGATACATACATTTGCAGTATGGTCTCAGACTTCTTCTATCCAAACATGGGTGGGGTGGAGGAGCACATTTTTAATCTGTCCCAGTGTCTGCTGGGTTTGGGACACAAAGTTGTTGTACTCACGCATTCCTACGGAGATAGAGTTGGGGTACGTTACATGACCAACGGCCTGAAAGTACGTAATACATTTACTTATCAAGAGAGAATGCTCTTTGTTAGCCTAAACTAAATAATTCTTCGTTCAAGGTCTACTACATACCAGTCAAGGTCTTCTACAATCAATGTGTTCTTCCGACCATGATCTGTTCCATTCCATTAATTAGATACATCTTCATCAGGGAAGAGATTCAAATAGTGCATGGCCATTCAGCATTTTCCGCGCTAGCTCACGAAGGGATGCTAATCGGCCGATTAATGGGACTGAAAGTAAGTCACCTGAAAAGAAAATGTAAAAAGGCTGTCTAGTAAACTGTACTGGAAATTTCAGACCATTTTTACCGATCATTCCCTGTTTGGGTTCGCCGATGCCTCGGCGATCTTAACGAATAAGTTTCTGGAGATATCTTTAGCAGACTGTGATCACTGCATATGCGTGTCCCACACGGGAAAAGAGAATACAGTATTAAGGGCCAAGGTACCGAAGGAGAAGGTTTTCGTTATACCAAATGCTGTGGACACAACGCTGTTTATGCCAGACGTTAATAAACAGGATACTAATTTTAGTAAGTCCAGTACGAAATATATCCAGGATATTAGTCGAACGTTCGAAGATCATTGAAGATACACGGATATTACTAATATACACTTTATTATTAATTGTAGTCACGATAGTGATAGTGTCGCGATTAGTGTATCGCAAAGGCGTCGATTTATTAGCTCGAATTATACCCGATATTTGTAGTCGGCACCTGGATGTGCAGTTTCTGATTGCCGGTGACGGTCCTAAGAGATGGCTTATCGAGGAGGTACGGGAAAGAAATTTGTTGCAACACAGAGTCACGTTACTAGGAAGCGTGGAACATTGCGAGATTAGGCATGTGTTGAACAAAGGCCATATCTTTTTGAACACTAGCCTCACAGAAGCTTATTGTATGGCAATCGTTGAAGCTGCCTCTTGCGGGTACATTATATTTTTGTCATCATACCATTCTTCTATTATGTAACCAATTGTTTCGCATCGACCCAATATGAATAAGATATTTGTTGCTGTGTTTTAGTTTGCAAGTGGTATCGACGAAAGTTGGTGGCATTCCGGAAGTATTACCTCCTGATTTAATTTATTTAGTCGAGCCCACGGTACCTGCTCTCGTCGATGGACTGGAAACTGCTATAACAGATTACAGAAAAGGCGATATCAAATGCCCCTTCGAAACCAACAAACGAATTAGTCTATTTTACAACTGGTTCAATGTAACCAGAAGAACTGAGATAGTGTACAATTTAGTAAGAAAAGAGGCCCGAAAAGATTTAGGCGAACAATTGGCAAACTACGTTCGCAGTGGAGTATTAGCGTATCTGCTGGTTGTGTCGCTGTGCTATATTATTATACAAATTTTAGAAGTTCTCGTTCCAAGAAAGGTAATTACCATAAGCGTTACCATTAAATTTTTCTTGTTCATTAATGGTCGAATGATTTTAGTACATTGACATCGCGAAAAATTACACGGAGATTAACGTGATACAAGCACAAGGTGATGGAAAAGAAGATTGACGTCTTCGGAACAGAACACATTTTCTTTCTAGTTACTATTCCATCGTTCAAGATGTGTGTATGTACCAGCATAGTTTTTTTTGTTTCAATGACATCCTATCATGTACGGTATAAAAACCAAAAAGAAAAAAAGAAACACAGTGTCCAAAGTACAAATACAATTGTTAGCGAAAATCAAATGGATAAAAAGCAGTTTCTTTTATTGTTCATCGCCTGTCATCACAAGAGAACGCAGTTCGGTCGTATCGTGCGCGTAAAAATAATTCCTGTGAGTTTTTGTTTTTTTTTTCTTTTTTTTCAAAGAGACTCTTTTTTTATTATGATCCGTAACATATCGTATGAATCGGCATGTCTGTATAAGTGTTGTTAACATTTCATAGTTGTATGCTAAATCACGCAACGCTTGTTCACATGTAAAATATATTACATCGTCAGGTATTAGAAAACACCTAAATGTTACGTGTAGGATTCGCTCGCATTTACAGGCTCAACACGTCCGTTTATTTATATAACATAATCTATTGCGATAGTTTTGAACTTAACGCCGTGCAATGTGACGTCTCGTTTACAATACGTCTGATGGTAACCAAATTACATACAAGTGATTTCATTATTCAACCTAGTTATCCAAGTACAATATTCAATCTTTGTTTTATTCAGACAACGCCTCCGAAACGATAAAATTTCAACAGTCGGAAAAACAACGCGTACAAAAAAAAAATGAAAAGGCTACATTGAAAATATAATAATATTTATTTTTATTAATGTTGTACGTTAGATACAATAATAATAATAATATTAATATAATATCAATGATTTGTTTGTTTTGCCTAATTAATTATCCTCGTATTTACTGTACATTTATCTATTTATACATAAATCTTTCACTCAAGGCTCTGTGGTCTTCCCCTAAGTATACCGCTTGCTTTCATAATCGCACGCGTACTAAAAGAAGATCAACGAACCTTAATCAACAACCATTATAATTATTAAAAAAAAAAACGGTCGGGTCTGTCGTAATATTCTTCGCGGGTTACGAACAGATTATGTCCTGCCGTTTCGTTCTTTTCTTTTCTTCAATTCAAGTAGTTTTCAAGTCCGATTAGAAAGGAAAAACGAAACAAGAGAGGAAAGAAGAAAAAAAAACAAAAGGTGAGTGTGTATCTCCGATAAGCTTGCTAAAATTCTCTCCCCACGACATGTACACTTACATTTAAAACTTTACAAAAGATACTGGTTCTTCCTTTCTCTGTGAAATTATTACAATATTGCATTACTTAAATCTTACGTCGAATTCTTCGTTTTAATTGATTCGGATCGATCTCCAGTGTCTCTCAGAAGAAGGATATGCCGCCGGTGGTGATAAAAACCGGAAGTTCCTTGTGTGCTATTATTATAAAGTTCCGCAGGATTACACACGAGCTTACTTTCATACTCTTCCCCTTTCGGTCCGGGTGCAAAAAACGGGAAAAATGGAAGATACAATTCGTTTCGCTGTTAAAAAATCGTACAACATGCAAGTACTGTTATTATTATTAAGTTTTCTTTCTCTTCTTTACGTCAGGGTATCCAAAGCGTTAAGAAAGTACAAGAGGTTCCTTCGTTTCCCTCGAGATGTCAGTGCTATAAGTATCTTTCGGTTCTCGTGTTCAATCATTCGGGTCCACATGTGGTAACAATACAACCGTTCCTTGTTTCTTTTTAGTAGTCGTTCAGTCAAAATATCATTTCCTTTTTTTTCTTCAATGTCTCTTCGTGAATTGGAAACTTTCAACGTATCGAACACAGGACAAATAGGTTGGGTGATGTCGCGATAAAATCAAGAAATCCATAGGATTCACATATGCCATCAATTTTGGCGCGCTCGTAAATAGTTCAACAACCGACGCACGCACATTTAACAAATCGTTTTTTTTTTCTTTTTCGTCTACCTTCCTGTGTCGTATTCCGTCCTTTCGTCCCGTTAGCACGTAATTACTTTCGACTGCGATGTATTCGATCGATACAGAATTTCATCGATCGACTCTTCGTCCGCGGCGAGTAACGATGAATTATTACAAAAGTGTGTGTGTCCTCTGTGTATTGTATGTATGTGTGACACATGAAATGTACGTGTACATCACGTTGGATAGCAGGCGAGTGCCCGCCATGTGTATGTGTGTATGTTCCTTCCGTTGAGTAAATTATATACAATAGAGTTCTCTTCCTCTTTTCAGTTCCGTTTCGTTTAAGGAGGAAACAATGCCACGCTGAGAGAATCGGTGTCTAAGGCTCCCATTAATGATCGAGTCAAAGGATAGAAACGGGGGTACCAAGATTATCCTTGCATGCTTTTAACCATAAAAAAAAAAGAGATCTTAATATATATATATTATGTATACATGTAATATATCGTTTTTTTTTGTTCTGTTTAATGAAGTACTCGTAACGGGTTCCTTAGAACGGTCATTTGGCATCTACAATAAATAAATAACGAACCGTAGTTGTCGGGCCAAGCGTCGCAAAAAATCTCCAACGGTGAGGATCGGAAACAGTACCGGAAATTCGGATTCACACATCTTCACCGTAATCACGGTCGCCAACGTTGATGCGGTCGGGTGCCGCGGTTACGCTGAAGCCTAGAATTCTATTATCGACTTTGTACATTTTTCCCTTCTTTGGCTTCTTCGATTTCCCCTGAAACATCATTCAACCCTTAACAATAATAGTCTTTTCAGTTTTGCATATAGGAATGCAATGCCGGGGACCGGAAACACGAATATCGGTATTTTTCAAATCAAATGTAGATATTTTGTATCGATATATTCCAATATCGTTACCTAACCTATAAATATCGAAATTTCAAAGTATTTCTATAATGTTTTTATATCAATACGTATCGATATGAAATATATGTAATATATTTAATCAATTAAATATACCTAACCCACACCTAACCTACAAATATAGAAATATTTCTATAATATTTTTATGTCTATAGCCATCACTAGCGGTGAATCCTTGAAAATTAAAAAATACCTTCACTTCCTGAAATTCCGCGGGCGCGTTTGGATTGACAGCAGGGGCAGGTTTGCAGAGATCATCCGCTTGCGCCTGAGGTCGCTGGGCGGACCGCCATTTGCTACGTTTCTCGAGGAATTGCTTAGCGAACTCTGAGCTCTGTTTGTTATCACCGAGGTAGTCTCGAACATATTCCTTTACCTCGTACGCAGACTCGATATCCCGCAGGAATCCAACGAACGTGGGTACTGAAATCGGCAACAATTACAGCGACCGACCAATCAGGAGTGTACACAATGTACGAAGAACAAAATGAATCACAACTTACTGTCCACGGACACCTGTAAACCGCTCAGTGCCTTGTTGCACCATTGCGTGAAATCGTCTGTCTTGGCAGTGTTCTGTTCAAACAGTTTCTTCACCAGCTCTTCCTCCCTCTTACTTTTACTCTTGTTCATCTTGTTGCTTTGTTGCTGCTGGTTAGCAGCAGGTGACTTCGCCGTTGTGGCTTGCTTGGCCGGTTGTTTAGAGGTTGTTGATGACTTGACGGGCGTGGGATCGTCCCAGAAACCGCTGCTAACGATGTTGTTCGACCATGCCGGACCACCGCCGCCGGCCGTGCTCGAGTTCGTCCAGTTCAGACACTGGGAAGCAGTGCCCCAAATACCGGCGTTCAGTAGCACGTTCGTCGATTCCTTTTGGCCCGCCTTCTCCTGACGCTCCCTTTCCTGCTGCTGAAGAATCAGCATTAACGATCAGTATAATAAATATAAAATAACGGAATGTGTGAAAAAAGGTAATAAGTACCTTTACCTTGGTGATACGGTCCTGTTCTTCTTGCTGAATCTGCGCGAGACTCTTCACCTGCAGAGGTTTGCTAGAGGCTGTCGCCTTCTCCGCCCACTTGAACTTCAACCGATTTTTCGACGAATCGGTCGTCGATGCCTCCTGGGCTGTCTCGATGGCCTTCTGCTGTGCCAGTTGCTGTTGCATCATCTGTTGAAACCGTTGTTCCTCCTGTGGTTTTGTAAATGTTATTAAGCGGTTTCGAACGATTCCCGGGAACATTTTAAACAATTGTCACGTACAGCTTTCTTCTCTCGCTCGAGTTTCTGGATCTCAGCGAGCGAAGCAGCTGGAATGGCGGGCGCTGGCGTACGAGGTGCCTGCGCCCAAGGTGCTTTACTTCTTTCCTGCAACTTTCGTAGTGCTTCCGCCTCCCTCCGCCTCTGTTCTGCCCGGCGAGCCTGCTCTTCAGCTTCCGCCTGTTTACGGGCCTCTGCTTCTTTCCTGTGACAAACGTTTCAATTAATTTCTTCCGACGTCAATTCGACCGGTATGCCCACCGACCGATTGGATGAATGAATAAAAATTCATACCGCATTCTTTCTTCCTCCTGTTTCCGTTGTTCCTCCTCCAATTTTTTCCTCTTCTCTTCCTCCTTCTTTTGCTTCTCCTCTTGCTTCTTCAACTCCTCTTTCTTCCGTTTCTCCTCCTCCTGTTTCTTTCTCAAATTCTCCTCCTCCTGCCGTCTCTTCTCTTCCCGTTTCTTCTCCTCCTCCTTACGTTTCTTCTCTTCTTTCTTCTTTCGTTCTTCCTCCTGCTTACGTTTCTCTTCATCCTTCCTCTTTTTCTCCTCATCCTTCCGTTTCGCTTCCTCGGCCAGTTTGGCCTGCTCCTCTTTTTTCCTCTTCGCGATCTCCTCCTCGGCCAGTCTGGCCTGCTCCTCTTTTTTCCTCTTCGCGATCTCCTCCTCGGCCTGCCGCTGGAACTCCTCCTGTTTCTTCAGCTCCTCTTTCTTTCTGTCCTCTTGTAACCTAAGGTTCTGTTCCTCCTGCAATCACACGGAATGGTTTCGATTCTGTTCCGTAAAAAAATGAATTAATCGTTGCTTCGATATATGCATATCTACTGACCAGTATCTGCTGCTCAGTCTTTATTTCTTTAGCTTGTAAATCCCACAACGAACTAGGCATTTGGCCAGGAGGTACCGCTGGTATCGGTCCGACCTGGGAAATGCAACTTCAGTAGTACCGGTAAAATACATTTCATACTTATTACGAACAGAAGGATTCTGGATGTACCTGTGCCAGCCAATTCTGTGCATTAAACTGTGGATTTATTTGCGGCGGCGGCTGGGGCCAAACGGTGTCCATATGAGGCGCTTGTGGATGGCCGTTCGCGTTAACATTCAGCTGCCGTAACAACGATTTTATGGGATTGTCTTCTTGCGTCGCGGGCGGCGTTGAATTGATATTCGTTTGTTGCATCCCCGGTATATTTTGTATTCCACCCATCTGTTGAATCAGTTGTTGTATAGGATCCATTGTGGGAGGATGGCTCGCTGTGGTGGAATGAGGATTCGACGTTAGATGAGTATCTTGCGGAGATTTAGCCTGTAAACGTTTGTATCACAAGATTAATTGTAAATCCGAAATTAAATACAAAACATTTATTCGTTCACGAACCTGTTGCATCTGCGAGAACAGCTGCATGACAGGGTTCATAGTCTGCGACGGCAGGTGAGGTACAAACGGATTGGAGGACATCGGTGGAACGTCCGGAATCTCAGAGTCTTGGATCATGTACTGATAAATCAACTGATTCTGCTCGACAGGACTCAGGGTCGCCCAATGTTCGGACTGCGAGAGCTTCGCTATGGCCGACGTTCGCAGTTGCCTGAGAAGCATCTGTTGATTCTGCAGCAACTTCATGTGCTGGTATTGAAGCAAAAGAAGCGGATTTTCTATACCAGATTTTGGCAAGGGGGTCAAGCCGGCAGGTACTGCGTTCGGAGCAGGAGGAATCACCTGGTCCGTTAACTGAAACAAAATGAAATCAAAATAAACCACAATCCGTAATGTCACTGCCAATGCAATTGATTCTGATTTGACACAACACTTTCAAAATCTTCCAAAGGACAATCCTCGGTACAAAAACAGAATTATGTACACAGAAACGGGACTGTACCTTCAAGGGAGGAATAGGAGGCCCCGGGGTAAATGGTATTCTACCACTAATCTTCATCAGCTCCCCTAACGTGGTGTACCGCTCGTCGCAGGTTCGCCTTACCATCAATCTGGCGGTGAAGTAACCGGATTTACACCATTCCGCCATTTCGCTTGCTAAGAACGGACCTTGAACTTCACCCTGTGGATCACGGTAAAACCATTTCTCCTGTCCATTCGTGGATGGGACTGTGGAAGGTTGGTTACCAATAGATGGCGGTACACCGGCGGTAGTTTTCTCCCTGTGGCTCTCTTCGTCGGCCATCAATTTCGCGACTAACGCGTCCGCCTCCTCCTTCATACGGTCCAAATCGTCGTCGCCTTTCTGCCTGACGTCCTCCGTTCCCGTACCGTGCACGACTCCCTTCTTCGGTTCCGTTTGCAACGGTTGCTGTCTCTTCGCGACCGTCGGGGGTATCTTGTCCACCTTCGCCTCCGTCTGAACCTCCTCCCTAGCCTGTACTTTACTGGGAGACTTGTTATTCCTCGTGTCGTGCGATTTTACTTTGCCAATCTCGATTTGTTCCGTACTTGTTGCCGCGCTCGTTCTCTTCTGCGAGCTTTCGGACGACGCTGGCGGCGTCTTGGCGGGCGTGCTGCTATCCGACGACGTCACGATGCCCGGCGGTTTCGTCGAGGGCGGTGAACTGCTTCTCCTCTCCTTCTCGACGACGTGGTCCTCTTTGACGTTGATCGGATGCAACGGCTTCGGTCTATCCTTGTTGATTGTACTAGTCGAATTGCTGGTGCCGCGACTCACCGGCTGCCCCTGCGTCGCGTTATAGGACAATGGTCTGCCGCCGTGTTTCGTTGTACTAACAGCACTCCCCTCGGATACACGTCGAGTCCTCGATTCTTGGGTACCACCCGCACTAACCACCCCGTCCTCGTCGTCGTCCGAATACATCCCACCGTGGAACGCACCGGAAGCGTCGAAGCTTCCTCCGCTCTCGCTGGGATTTTCGGTGGCCCTGCAATGAACGTGAATTGTTGAAAATATATAACATACAAGCATTTACTGTTGCTTGTTTTTTTAAAGAAGCAGCACCATTCAGGAAGGTTGTCGTGATTGTTATCGTGGTGATTCGACTCCCATGTACGAGCAGTACGTGAAGGAGGATGGTGACTCGGGTCGTGTGAACCTCTGTGACTTCCACGATGCTCCCATCTCCCGCCGCTGCTCCGACCTTCTTCACCGTCTCCCTCGTTTCGATCTAATCGATCCCGATCCATACTCCCCCCTTCACGCCAACTGCTTCTACCTGAGATAATTCAATCGAACGATGTAACGTATCAGTCTCTACGACGAATCGGTCGAAGGAGAGGATTTCCTTTTACCCCATTTACGCCAGCCATCGTCGTCCTCTGTGCCACCGCCACGATGACGCCGCCAATTACCCTCCACGACGCTACCGCTTGCACCGCGAGCCAATTCTTTCCTCGGACTTGTAGAACCGTTCCATTCACCCGGGTCTGAGGCCCCGTTCCTTTCCGACCACCCACGTTCGCTTTGAGATCTATCGAACGGGCGGTTTCGTCCCTGAACACGAAATAGAATTATTCTTCTTGTCCATTAGTGTCTGCTCCTAGGATGTCCCGGGTGTTACATACTGGAAATGGTTGACTGTCGATTCTTCTACCATCGGCTGCATCGTCGAAACCAACCCCTCGAGGATAATGGGACGAATACAAGCCTCCTCTTCCATTCCTCCCACGCCCCCCGCGATCCACGCTTCCACCCCTGCCTTGACCGGTAACATGAGTTATTCCGCCATTCCACATTCGCTGAAAGGACACATTAATTTAATTTCAAAGTAAGCATAATTCTGTGTAATTATAACACATGGTAGAATATAAAATGATTATGTAAAGTAAGCAACAGTGGATAGGATAGTGCTACGAAGAACTGGCACAAGGGCTCCAGTGTGTTGTATTTTTAGACACAAACTGACTTCACGAGACAGGTCCCAATATAGGATGCAATAAGAATATACAATTATTAAATGATGTTAATTATCATCTTACACAATCGATCGATGAATTTATTGTCATGGTGCATCAATGACTTCAGAAAAAGAAACTAATTTCCGACAATTAATAATTGTACACAGTACCCTTTAAATATAATACTTTTTCAACGCGGCAATAGGGTAAACCAACCAGTAATTGACTGCATACCAGTGGATGACCATTATTAATGGATCCATTTATAAATGGAGTGTAGTTGCACCTTTAATATCCCTTTCAGTTTAGCATATTAAGCAAACATTAATAAGTGCAATTCTTATTAAAAATATTTCTGAAATGTAGCAGTCATTTACGGGCCTTTACCCACTATGTTTTGCACTATGTAAGTACTTTTTTTTTTAAATTGTGATAAAAATAAGTAATTATTTTTAGAGAAATTTCAAGAAAAATAAATGTAATTGCAATTTCAACAGCTGTTTTGTAGTTATAAATAAGTATATTCATGTATTAATCTTGAATGTCTATAAATTCAACAATTCGGTCATTCACTGGTTGGTTTACCCTACTCTCCCCACGTATAAGCGCATATTTCATTAATTACCGTTTCATCTTCTGTCATCTGTATAAGAGCCAAAGGAAGCTGAGATTTCTCGACATACAACGTCGAAAAATTTGTCAACGGCTCCGGTGGCTTGCAATTACGATCGAACAAAATCAACATTTCTTCACGTCCGTATCGATGTTCGGCTAATTGATAACGCGGGGCGGTTAAACTTGTAGTACCTCCACCGCCTCCGCTATTATTGCAATTGTCTGCTGACAGATTGCGCAACCTGTGCATACACAAAAGAATGTAGAAAACGCATAACGATCCAGGAGTAAAATTAGTAAAATTTTACAAACCATTCTGGACCAAATTTCATAGAATCCGTCATGATGGGCTATACGCTGAAAAATAAAAGAGTCCATTACAAACAAGATAAATCATTTTAAGCAGAAAGAAACAAAACTTCTCAAATCATTCTGTATTTGAAAGTTTGGTTGCACCAATGGAGATAAAAAGAAAGATTAGCATGACACATTACAGATACAAATGTACGTTGTTTCTTTTCCAAAATTATGTGTCAATAATGAGGGAGATATTTTTGATGATAACAATACAGCGATTAAGATACAGAGAGATTCCAGTTCTGTGGTCAATAAAGAATATCGTAACAGTGAATGACAACAAAACATCCTTCGTCTAAAGTCATTTTCCTTCAGAATCAGTTCTGAAAGCCTATAAAATAAAGATGATCTTGAATCGGAGAGCCCTAGCTGAGTCAGGGCCTCAAAGAGACATCTGTTTATGGCCTCAGTAGGTTAACTATCTCCCAATTGATTTATCCCAAAGAATACATCTGATGCATCCCTGGTAAACCCTGTCGACAATTTTGACCTGTTGCTTATAGAAAATCAACCGATCCATGCGCGTTCTACGCTCACCACGGGCAACAACAATAACGAACGAGTGATTAGATTCGAAAGACAACGAACGTACGTGAAAAATCGGCTTGGTAAAAGTGAGGTCGAAGGTATGGAAGTCACGACAGATACGGTTAGCAAAGTAGTCTGGTCCAGAGAACCGTGGTTCTCAAAAGATCGGTTTAACAACGGCTAATGTTGCTACACACGGATAGAGAAATATCGGATAAGCTGTTAATACGAGACCGTCTTTCGATCGGCTGGCAATGGTACGCGTTTATTTGCGCGATATGTTCCTAAACAGACCGATTTCCGTGGGGGCCCAGGTGGCAACATTAACCAAACTTTTTTTTCTCTCTGCCCGCGAACGTCATCGGAGTTCACGGATGGCGATCGATCAGAGTTGAATCGGGCATCAGAGCACGAGATTGTTCACGGGGCTACGTACACGAGGTGAAACGAGCCGATGAAAGAAAGAAATACCTCACTGATCTTCGAAATTACTGAGAGGGCAGCGATACAACACACCAATATGGCTGATGGTTTTTTTTTGGGGGAATCGAGCGCATGCGGGGATACCAGCTACACCTGAAGCAATCGAAAGTCACTAGGAGGGCAACGCTGCGTTCTTCTGCTGCCTGTCAGCTGGAGAAATTTCGTTTTTTTCTGTCCTGAATCACTGCACTAGAAATAATGAGGTTTTTTTTTTAAAATATGTATGTTTGTTATTTATGAATTCTAAAGAGAATTTTAGCTATTATATTTTTGTAACTAGGTATGCTGCAGGATCATTTTGGGCTTTTTCCTGGTCTATTTAATGAAAATGAATAGTGGTATGGACATCCGTTGCCTGTGGATGATAGGACACAACAGTAATAAAGCTTCTATACGTACTTAAATTGTTATTCTATTACCATTACCTTGTCTGTCATTCTTAGACATTCAGAAAAGAGTTTTGCAAAGATCCAGTAGAGACATTGCAGTGTTAGGACTACAAGGACTACAAAATGGGTTTCCAAAATGCAACATAATGTATTTGAGTCTTTGTTGCCCTTGACACCTAACACGTACAGACTTCAAATTATATTAATTGAGTAATTACACAAATGTGCGAAGTCTTGTATAAGCTATACAGCAGTACTGAAGAAATTAGTTGTCAACACGTATGACAGAGCTATAAATAAAGATACAGAATGGCGCAGGATTTCAGATCAAACGAAATAGTGAGGCTTTTTCACTATAATGCCATATTCCGCGACTGCTGGTGTGAGATCCTCCATGGTCAATGTGTATCGCCGATCCTTCCCCTTTGTTTTTGTATTCTGATTAGCTCCACGTGTCTTGCAGTGTTGTAAAGCATCATTTGCTATTTCGGATATGAATTTCTGTGCTGCTAACGAAACCAGTCGGACTCTGCAATCAATAGAAGTATTCGTATAGTATAAACATAAAAACTGAACAATCTTAAACTGATACTCAATTTTTATAAAGTGCTTACATCCTGGGATCTGTGCCATTGAAGCCAGCTGTGTGTAAATAATGTTCGCTGATTGCATCGGGTACCTGTGGAAAGCTTGTTTTTTAATATCTTCGAGAATAAACGAATAATAATTATAAAATTTCTTATGCAATTACTGTTGGCGTGTAGTCTTCCAGTTGCAAAAGGAAATCAGATAGGGGTTGACCAGCTGTTTTCGTGTCTTCGTTTCCCGTGTACATTGGTGGTGTTTCCCTTCCAAAATCTTCCGCCATTTTAATCAAATCCTCTTCCTAAAATATCAAAATCCTACAAGAAAATATTTTAATATAAATCGAAGTTCATTAATATGTCATGTTTCGAAACAAATGTTCGTGGTTTATTACGGATAAGTTCTAACCTCTTAACAATGAATTTATAGCAATTATTAAAAAATGCATTGACAAATTCATAGGATTGATTAAAATATACAAAAAATCGTACCTTTCACATAAACTTTTCAATGACTTGTCCCTACGGATTAAATGTCAGTTGTATCTGACACGACGTTCATAAGAAATACACGGAATAACATACATAAAGATGGAGTGTAACCAGACTTTCATTTATCTAGGGAATATGCTAATAAGGAATACATCAGTCATATATATATATATATATCAGTGTGCGAACCACTCTGTCCCCCTCCATGGCATACGTCCAAGAATTTCCCATTTTCCAGTCAGATGTTCAAGAAAATTATTTTATTCAATCTTCCGTTGTGTAACATTAAATGACTAATTGTATGATACACAATCAATTAGTTCACAATTGACAATGTATACGTATGATCATTCACTCTAATAAAATATTATCAACTAAACTAATTAATTAAGTGTTTCACTTCCATAGAAAATATGTAAAAATACATGATACATTTTTTGAAAATGCATAGCTTCATTGAGTTTCTCAGAAACCAAACCAATGGACTCAATTTCAGTAGTTTCAATTTTTATGTATTTTATATCTCGCAATGTTAAGCCTACGTCTTAAATAATTCACTATTTAACATTTGTACGTTCGTGTAATGTAATAATGTTATTTATATCTACAAGTGTTACTCAACGTTTTATTTTATGGAGTAGATTAGTTTGGCTGCTGCAAAAATCTGAAAGTTTACTTTTATACCATGTTAGAAATAATTAAAAAATTGTCTACCTACGAAGAAATGCATATTACGGGAGTGAATTAAGTCATCCTTAGATTCGTTTCAGTTTATTCTACGGAAGCCAAGATTCATTCTTGAATCTATCGAATTTCAGTTTATTTATAGCAATACTTTGAGTAATTTGCTCTGCTGTGTGGGTCAGACCATAGTAATCCACGAATAAGCCATCTGGGTCCACCAAATATATGATGATTGTGTGGTCAACCTAGTAACAGAACATAAAGATGAATATGCAAACCATATGATTAAAGAATATTAAATTACTAACAATGTAATCAGCATCCTGGTCCTTAGGTCCATTGCTATAGTATACTCTATAAGCTTTGCACGCTTTGGCAACCTGTTCCGATGTGCCAGTAAGACCAATAATTTTATCGTTGAATTCTTTAACATATTTCCCTAAAATTATCAATACTGGGGTTTGTTGAATCTGAATTTCTTCTTATTTACAAATATGAGGAAATATATAAAACAAGCTTGGAAGAACATAAGATGAGATGATAATATAAAAACAATATTTTGCCCTTATATGTAGTTGGTATTCTATATAGCACAGATACCACAGAGCATGCTTCCAGGAGTTAAGTTTTGAGTAAGTCGAAGTTTTACCAAGGTTAGTAACAATTGTTGCCAGCTTTTCAAGTTCATCCGGACACACATCAGGGCAGTGTGTGAACCCAAAGTAGATCAGAACCCATTTTCCCAAGAAGTCATCTGATTTCACTAGTTTCCCATTGGGATCAACTAGCTCAAATTTCCCACCGATAGCAGCTTTTCCTATCTCGCGTCTTCTTTCTTTTTCTAATTGAAGGGTTTTCGTTCTTTTCAAATAATACAGATACAATGCAAGAGCTCCTGCAAGTACACTGGTGACCGCCAAATTCCTCCATGTGATGGGACTCTTGTAATGAAGAAAATTTGACTTTTTTTTCGGCAATGAATCTAACCGACTGCTCTTACATAAATTCGTGTGAGTGTTTATACATCGGACTGGTGGGTAATGGTACTTGCAAGTCCGTAGAGTTTGAAAAGACGTCTGCAAAAAATATGTTACATGAAACCATCGAGTCAAACATGTAATCAATTAAGTTATACATACGACAGTGTCTAACTGATGAAAATCATGTTTTGGTTTTTAATGCAATTTCGTCGTTTTAATATTGACCGTTCGTATTGATACTCACATTCTTACGAACCTGATTAGAGTACTTCTTTAATAGCGCAACTGACCGATTAATCAAGCTTGTCATTATTAAACGCGACTTAAATTACTGAATTTGAATACGGATATAGGCTATGGTTGCACCGGTACAGGCATGTGTCTAATCTGAGCGGGCTATTTGAAATATTCCGTGTGTAGGGA